ATCCCACAGAAACGAATCGGCACGTGCATGTAGCATGGTCAGTGTGGAAATTTGGACAAGGCATTCTGGGTATTTGGTGGGCGAATGATGAAGGCATGTGAGGACTTCACCATACCACGAAAATGTGCATCTGTTTGGTGAGCTGGTGCCTGCTGCCTTCTCTCTGCTGCGGTCAATATGAATATGTAACGTGCAATGTGCATGCTGCACACGGACCATGGTCCATGCCAGATGCTGATGATGCTCGAGATTATCAACTGCATGCATGTATTTCTCTCGCTCCGACACGTCAGCACGTCATGGACAAGTCAGTCATGGCTGGAATGAGCGAAAATCTTCCGAGGGAGGTGTGTGACGTTGCTGAGAACCAGCGACTGTGCCATATTTATTACTTACATTATATTACTTACATTATATACTTAATGTTGTAATCTACGTTGTAGTGGAACTCTTGAAAAAACGGGTTGTGATTATCAATTGACTATCATCTATTGCTAAAGAAATGCTTCCCTTCATTGCAATATGCGCCTTACTAAGCCTATTTTTAATCTTCGGTACTCTTCAACAAGCAACATGGCAGCTGATCACAGTCACGTTATCATATCAATATACCTATGTTACTTTCAAATGCTTGAAATTTAGAACAGCCTTAAATGCTGGTCAGCGAATGCACTTATGAAATCATTCGGACTGCTTGTGGTAGGAACTTACCTACTCATCAGTTTTTGAAAATATGTATGTTTACGGCATTCAATATCAGTTTTTTTTTTTGTCACATAAATTGCTACGCTTAGTGCCGTGTTGTTTAAAAAATTAAAAGAGCTGCGCCACGTTTAACCCTCGCTAATGTAGGGGGGGGGGGGTTGGTGCAACCCCTCCCTGAGGTTTTTTTCTTAGCTACACGCCGAACCGTTTCAGATAGCCTGCTCAAATTTTCAGTACCCTCTGGGGCATCCTTTGCGCAACTTTTGGTAATTTCTTTTTGTCAAGGTCATGTCAGGTCACGGAGTTATGACGTCATAAAGGGAACAACCTCCGGCCAGATTTACGCTAAATTGGAGATTGCTTCACATTGGTATTAATGCCGACTGACCAGACACACTGATGGATTGTTTTAGAATCACAACTGGCTGATTTGACATTGGCACAATGTCCGTTGACATTTTGAAGGTTACTAAAGGTCAAGGTAAGGTCAGTGACTTCGGTTGACCTGTAATGACTTCTTGCACTTGTATGCCTTTTCGGGGTATTTTGATGCCCTGAATTCGAATTTGCTATCCATTTCAGGCATCGTCGGTTGTTTCTTGTGGTTCATTTTGGGTCAGGGTCAGGTCAGTGACGTCACACGCCTGACGTGACCCAATGCACAAATGACCTTGCAGACTTCCGATGCTCCCTACGCATCATTTTTAGAGTTATGACATCGAAATACACACCAAACGATAGAGAATTGATCAAGGATCACGATAGTGAAGGTTTCAAGTCGATATCTCTTACCGTTTTGCCTCAATCGGCGCGGAAATCTGAAAAAGTTAGATTTTTCCGAAAATTTGACCTTTGACCAGTCATAAGTAGGTCAAATGTTGACTTAGTACCAAAAATATACCACCAATCGCGAGATCTCGTTGAGAGCAATCCGTTGGTCGTTTTCGCTAAGCTCTACGACGCTCCGTTTTCAAACGCCAGGGGGAGGGGTCGCACCAACCCCATCCCCCTGCATGGGCGAAGGTGGCAAAACAAGATATTTTCCAGCTTGCGCCACCAAATGTATGAAAAGTAGGTAATTCCTTTATCACATCACGGACACTTATCTGTAAAAAGTCGCATTTCTCAAAAACTGTGCCAGTTTTCGGTGAAATTCGGTCAATGCCCAACGCTGTTTAATGATCTCCGACGTAGGGACAACACTTTTGAACTGTTTCATTGAACTTTTTCAAGGTGGGATGGTCTTCAATATGTCCCCTTGTGTTTTACAAAGTGTTTACACCCTACTTCATTCATTCTGTGATACCTAAGCATGGTCTGCAAGGTATCTACAGTGTGAATGTGTTCGCGGAATGACCTTGGCTGAGTGCTCTCCGGCTCCAAAGCATGGATGTACAAATTATCATCCCGCACCCATTGATTCCTGGGATCATTAGCACATTTGTGAACCCCCAGTCGTCCTATTCAGCAAACCCGCAGCACTGACGGATGACAAACACAGTATATAAAGGGTTGCTGGGTTTGTTGCTTGTTATAGTGAGGGAGCTATGATGGAAGGCTATCTCGTCTATATTATATGGCCGCCCGGGCCTGCAACTCGGCAGCGCAGGGCCGGAGTCTCTCCTTACGGTCAGGTGGGGCTGACCATAAGAGGGGGGAGGATGTTGGGGGGGGGGGTTGTATCTGGAGGGGGGGGGGGGTGCAGAGTGACACCTGGGGATTACAGCCGGCCCCGCTGACCGCGTCCGATCGCCGCTGTGGTTCATAGAACTGCCAAATGTCCGACCGCAGCGATCGTCACCACCGAGCCAGCCGGCCAGGAGCGGGTGGACAGGGTGCAGGGCAGGGGTAAAGCCGCTCAGGGGCAGTCGCTGGGTACTGACATTCATAGCCGCCGTGACGTGTGTTTATGTTCTCAGTGTCCACGGACTCTCCCATTTTACCCACTGCGCCCATCGGTGACCGACCAAGAGAAAATTATTAGTCCGCCTCCACTCTATTAAAAAAAAGAAAAATCAAACAAGCTTAACCGCACCCCGATTATTCACTTGGAAAATAAAATCCGCCCACACCTCTTCGAAACACGAAAATATTGAACCAGTAACAATTGCTGTTATCGCTTTCATCTAGAAAGTGCGGGCATTGTGACGCGCTGGGTACGATGGCTGGGTGGTACTGACGGCGCGGCGGTCGGCTAAGTTGGTGGCAAAAGAGGTATTTCCTGTCGGGTATAGGTGGCTCGATTGTCCGCGCCGGCCCGTCTTCGATGGACCGGCGCATCCCACCGGGGCGTGGCCGGTCAATTGTGGCACACTATTGGCAACTTTCACATTGGTCACATGCCGTGCTGGCTGTGGTCAGTTTGAACTGGGGAGATTTGAGGGTTACTTTGCTGAAATGGGTACGAATTAGATATTGTCCAGTATGTCCAGCAGGTGTTTGGAAAATATCCCGCAATTGGATGCATTTTTCATTGTAGGTTTCCCACACAATCACCCTTTGTATGCCACATGTGTCTGGTCCTATTGCCGGACCCAGGAATGGAATCTAGAATGATATCCCACGTCAATCAATGAGTTGAAAAATCGTCATTTTTTACAATATATGTATGAACAGTTAACACGGTACATGCTCTAAGCACCGCAAAAGCATGCGGTCCTGAAGGCGCACAGTTTCACAGTCACTGCACTCACAGCACTAAGGGACGTAATTCATTGGTGATGTATTTGGATGCCTTGTTCATGAGTTCGCACAGCTTTCAGATATGTTGTGCTGATTAGCGCACGACCAATTTAGTTCAAACATTTCGGAATATGATTGGCTTACAAAGTAATTTGTCGTATGGCTATCAAGCCACTTTCTAACATGCTTCTGTTTAAAACCTACCTACCATGGGTACATGCTGAAAACAATGCTCACTGCGCAGTTGGCACAGTTGCATGCCTATCCCGCTTCAGTGGATTGTACTGAGTTTGTAGCAGTGTTAGGTCAGTACTGTTCAGCTGAAATGTCGTGCTCCAGTATCCCCGATGACCGGAGAATTGCATTTAACAGGCCTATGTGCTGCATGTTCTGCCTAAGGTGTGGCCAAATCAGACCTCATCGGGATCCTGTGGCCGGATAAGTTTCCCTGGGACACATAAAAACTTGACTGTATGTGCTTGCCATTTGTACATTCTTCGTAAACTAAAGGTTTGATCAAGCAATTACATGATGTGCCTCGGACTAGCTTCAGTTGCTTCTTCTGAAGGTGCTGCTTATAAATGTTGTGGCCCCTCGCTCAAAGAACATTGGCTGCCTGTAATTACGACAGTTCGGTCGCCTGCATTTATCGTCGCATTGTTTTGTTTGAGCAAAACATTTGTGTATTACCACCAGAGCTCCTTGCCTCTGAACGGTGAACCAGGCGTGGATTCCATCATGTGGAGATACAATGCTCGAAAAGTCACATCCCACGTTAACCCGCGCCGGGCCGGGGGTGTTTGAACACCCCCCCCTGCGTTTTTTCGCAGATATCTCAAAAAGGACAGCGCGGAGCGCCGCCGTTTTTGGCACACCTGTTCGTGCATCTTTTCCGCACATGTTGTGAAAATTTCAGACCCAGGTCGCCTTAGGTCAGGTCAACAGATCACGCCAAGTGACCTCACCTCAGAAAAAATAAGAATGCTCGTCATAGCTACACCGATTGATCGATTGCCTTCAAACTTTCAGCGATTGATAATCTAGCAACATTATCTATAAAATGTTTATCTCGGAATTTTGATATCGGTGACCTAAGGTCAGGTCAATTTTGCGGCCTCTCCATAATAAGTCAATGGGATAAAATCGAATAGCGTCTGTTTTGCACAAACGCTATTCTAGACACTCTCAAACATCGAGATGTAGGTAAAATTGACACACTGAACCGGAAAATGGCAACTGTGACCCCTCGTTATGTCCCCGAGGTCATCTCAGGTCTAACAGTTTTTCGCTAATAACTTCTGATAGAGGCGTGCTAGAGCACTGAAAACGCCTTAGATGTGTTCGGCTCGACGTTGCGGATCGACTGATATGCAACATGACCTTTTCCGGTCAGGTCACATGACCTTGACCTGTGGTCAAATTTTCAAGCTGACCTTTCAAGGTCAAATTACAGTTCATTCGACGCGTCTCAACGAGAGGACCACGATGCTGGCAAAAGTAATGTCATGGCTCTTTTGAGTCAAAAGTTATTGCCGAAAAAACTTTGTTCGTAAAAACGGCTTGTTATAAAAGTTGAACTAAAAGGCCGGTTCAGAAAACTTGAAAAGAAAGCAAACTTTACACACTTATATTTAAATCACTCTGGTGAACTCGGTGATGAGGCAAGGCGGTAGCACACAACAATGGCAGGTCTTCACAGATCGGCGGCAGGTCAGCAACAGACGGAAATTAATACGAAACAAAGCGAAATCGGCGCGGTTACACATGGCAGCACGACGTCACAGAAAATATGCGAAGGATTCAGGAAGTTACCAAATACAAAGGAAAGTTTTACCGGGAAGGAAGGCGGGGTATAACAAACATGGAGCTAAATGAAGGCAAAAAAGGTAACAGGCTACTAATTAGGACACACTCCCCACTCGAAGTGACTCACTTCGAAACAGAAACAGATAATACACGGCGCTCGACAAACACAGTCACAAACACTTCACTGGCTCACTTCGCGCGTCACGCGGCAGTCACCCACGCGCTGAGTTACTCGCCGGCGGCCTCCAGCGCGTACAGTTTGTTCACAGGACGCCGAGTCGTCCTTCCGCGCAGCGAGATGACCGCGGCGCGAGCCTGTCCGTCAGGCCCATGCAGTAGCGCGGTGATACGCGCCAGCGGCCACCGGCCGCGCGGCCCGTCCTCGCGCACCAGCACGACGTCACCGATGCCGGGGAGGCGACTGGGCCGACCACGCGGAGAGGTGCTCCAGCACCGCAGGGCGCTCAGGTACTCTGAGGTCCATCGACGGTTGAGGTGATCGCAGACGCGCCTCCGATGCCTCCAGGTCCTGGTGACGGGAGACTCAGTCAGAGTAGGACAGATCACCCCGTCGATCGCAGTCACCCCGAACAGAAAGTGGGCGGGTGTGAGGACGTTCTCCCCATCCCCCTGGGTGAGTGGGCGCAGATTGATGGCGAAGGCCAGTTCGTACAAAGTAACAGACAGTTCCTCGAAACTGAGATGGCACAGATGCAGCGTGATCCTGAGGGCTTTCTTGGTGACTCCCACGAGCCGCTCCCAAAAACCTCCCCACCATGGGGCAGACTCGGGGATGTACTTCCATGTCACAGAGCGGGGGAGGTGACCCGTTAAGGCATGAAACGTACGAGCGTTGTCACTGTAGACTAGCATCGGTGTGCCGCGAATCGCGAAGAATCGTCTGAGCGCGATGATCAGATCAGAGGTGGCCTGGGAGCGCACCAACTCTAAGTGGACAGCCCGCGACGTGGCACACGTGATGAGTAAGATCCATACCTTCTGGTGGCCGTCCACATACAGTGGACCCATGAAATCCAAGCCTACTTTGGAGAATGGCCTCGCCGGCTGTGTCCGGAACGTAGGCAGGGCTCCCTCCGGCGACCGGTACGGCAGGCCGCGCTACCGGCGACACCGCATGCAGGAGTCCACCACACGACGGACAGTTCGCCGCCTCACCATGTATCCTGCTGACAGCAGCGCCAACGTTACCCGGGTGCCCTGGTGGAAACAGAGGCGGTGCGCATCGTCAACAATCAGGGTGGTGACGTGAGATAGGTCTGGCAGCACTGGAACGGCCCGCTCCCCACTTCGCAACGTCGCCTCCAACACACCATCGTCGCTCAGCTGCGGGTGCAGCTTCTCCAGCGGCGAGCCAGCCGGCAGCAGCTTACCAGTTCGCAGGGCGCCGATCTCCTCACGGTAGGCACTGGCCTGTGCCTCCCTGATGTAGAACCGCAGACTTTGGCTCCTCTCCTCCGGCGTCAACGGGCCCACCTGGCGCTCCGCTCTGGGCAGACGGCTGTTGGACAGGAAACGTCGCACCCAAGCCAAACGATTCACAGCGGTCTTCAGGTCAGAGCACGAGGTTATGAGCGCAGCGGACTCGGCGGGAGGCACTGACCTCGTCACAGGATGACTGCAGGCCACCGACGACTGCAGCTTCTCCTCTGCCTCGGCGGCAGGACTGACCTCAGAGACTGGTTCCGGCTGCGACGGCGGGTTCGGCGTCAGCAGGAACGGCGGTCCCTTCCACCACCTCTCGCTGGTCTCGCCTGCGGTGAGCTGACTCAGGGCGATCCCTCTCGTCCCCAGATCCGCCGGGTTCTCCGCTCCTGGGACGAACTGCCAGCTCCCAGGGTCGGTCAGCTGCCTGATGGCTGTCACGCGGTTTTGCACAAACACGCGAAACAGTTTGGCACTGCGAATCCAACACAGCACATCCATTGAGTCAGACCAGTATGTCACGCGGGGGTCAGCCAGATTCAGGGACTCTCTGACAAAGTCCATCAGCCGAGCCCCGGTCAGCGCCGCCATGAGCTCCAACCTGGGTATGGTTAGGACGGGTTTGAGAGGCGCCAATCGAGCCCTGGCGACGAGCAGGTGCACCTCCCCACCCTGGAGCACGTACACAGCAGCGCAGTACGCAGATCTCGATGCATCACAAAACACATGAAACAACGGTGGCTCAGCCCCGGCCTCAGTCGTCATCACTGAGCGGGGAAACCAGACAGTCTTACTGACCGAGTCATGCCACCACGCGTCCACCTCCTCTTGCAGGTCGAGTGGAAGTCGGTCGTCCCAATCCAGCTGTTCCTCCGTCCACGATCGCTGGAACAGCTGCTTCCCCCGCACCAGCCACGGCGTCAGCAGTCCAAGCGGGTCGAACGGCTTGGATACTGCGGACAGCAGGTCACGTCTGCTACACGGGCGGGTGATCGCAGGGACGGTCACGGCAAGGTCATCAGCACCTGTGCGCCACATCAGACCGAGGACAACGGCATCGTCTGACACATCACCTGTCATCCTCGCCTTGTGCAGCTCCATCTTCGCGTCGCTGAACACCTCCGTGATCTGCCGCATGCCGGTGGTAGCCTCCTCCGTCGTGGAGAACGTCGGGCAGAGGTCATCCATGTAGAGAGCCTTCTCCACCTTCTCCATCAGATCTGGGTACAGAGACATATACTGCCTGACGTGATGCGATATCGTACGCAGCAGCATATACGGCGAGCACGTGATTCCGAACGTCACCCTTCGGAATCTCAGACACTGGTCCCGCCACAGGAACTGCACGAAGCGCCGATCGCGCTCCTCCAGGGCGATCTGGTGAAAGGCCGATCGGACATCAGCCTGGCACCCCACAGAGTTAGTGCGGAAGCAGAGGATGACTGCAGGTAGGCGGCGAAGCAGGTTCTCGCCGGGCACGAGGTACTCATTCAAACTCCTCCCTACACCGTCAGGGGCCGAGCCGTCAAACACCACCCGCAGCTTACCATTCCGGTCCAAGCCGCGGTGCGGGAGGAAGAAAGCAGAGGACGGGTCGTCAGTGGTGGGCGGCGCGTCCTCGATCACTCCATCCTCCTTCAGCTTCTCGATATGATCGTCGTACCGGCGGAGCTCTTCTGTCCCCATCTTCGTCGCCAGACGACGGGTGCGCGCCTCGGCAGACGGCAGGTTGGACGCCGGCCGGCAGTCAGACTTCCAGAGAAGTCCCATCTGGTACCGGTTCTCTTCCTCACTCCAGGTCGGACCGGGCATCGTCTTCTCTGCTGCGTCTCCTGCGGACACTCCGACGGCATCCAATGTCCACATGCGCTCGACTTCAGACAGCTGGCAACGGTAGGCGTGACGAAACACAGGCGGTTCCTGACCCTGGGCCCGTCCATGGAGTACATATCCAAAGACCGTTTCTACCAAACGCAGCCCCGGACTCACCTCCATCTGACCCCACATTACCACTCGGTACAACTGGTCACATCCGATCAACATGTCAACTGGCACATCACGGAAATCATCAGCCAAATCGACACTGGGCGGCAGCGATAGCACAGGCGGTTTGGCTCCCACAGGAGCACACAGCTTCTCGGTCTTCCAGAACGACAATATGGCCTCACCTCTCTGGTGTCCCCTCAGCTGCGCGCTCACCAGGGCGTACTGACGTACCTCTTCCAGCTTCTCCTTGAAGCCGACGCAGGCGAACGTCCCCTGGCCGACAGTCTCCAGCCCGAGCTCGTCAGCCAGTGACGACCGGATGAAGGACGCGTCCGAGCCTCCATCGATCAGGGCGCGCACAAGGCGCACACCACGGGGACCTGCTGCAGTGACAAGTGCGGTCTGGACATAACAGTGGTTTCTGGCATGCACACTCAAGCACATCCGACCCTGACCAGAGCGAGCAGTAGGCTGTAGCGGGACATGGCTCTGAGATGGGCTGTTGGCTGTACTCCACTGGGGCGGAGCAGGCGGAGCCGAAGCAGGCGCAGACATGGAGCTGAAGCGGGCCTCAGGCGCAGGGTAGCAAGCGGGCGGGGCGGAGCAAGCAGCGGCCGCTGGCGGTGGCAGAGATCGGCGGTCAGTGCAGGGTGGTCTCCCACGCGGGACGGCAGCAGCGGTGGCATCATCTGGTGGCAAGTGCAGGGACGAATGGTGCGGGCCTCCACACCACGGGCAGTGGGTGCTGGTGCAGGCACGGAGCAAGTGGGGTCCCAGACACTGGAAGCACAGACGTGCTCGCCTCACCACATCCCATCGAGCGGGCACAGGCATGCAACGGTAGGCAGAACAAGCAGCGAGTCCATGCTTACCAGATCCACATGCCAAGCATACCCAGTCTGGATCCCTCTTCTGACGCAGGCTCAGGACGCTGACGGTTGGCTTCCCACTCCCAGGTACAGGCTCGGTCGAGTCGCTGGTGCCTCCTCTCTTCCGGGTCGCTGCCTCCTCCCTGATGGTCATCTCCCGCTGCAGGAACTTGAGAAACACAGTCAGCTCATCTTGGGAGTCCACCTTGCACCTCAACCACTCTATCTTCCAGGACTCTGGCAGGCATGACAGAAGCACAGGCATCAACAACACTGAATAGCTATCAGGCAGTACACCCATCGTCTCCAGAGCTCTGACCTCCGAGACCAGTTTGTCAACCATACGCCGTAGACGAACCAGGTCAGCATCATTGTGCACAGGGGAGGTGCTCATCAGCCTTTGCATAAGCACTTGCCTGCGTAGGTCTGGTCGGTCGAACCTCTCCTTGAGTGTCTCCACCGCCCTGTAGTAGCCCTGGTCGGTCACTGGGAAGCCCTGGAGAGCAACTTCCGCCTGGCCTGTCAGGTGAGCCTTCAGGTGCACGAGCTTCTCTACAGGCGAATATGCAGCATTGTCATTCACAGACACACAAAACAGATTCCAAAACTCTGGCCAGCTCTCCACATCTCCATTAAACTTTGGCAGTTTGAGATCCAACTGGAATTTCCTCCCTATGCAGACATTAGGTGCAGGCACACTGGTCTCTGAGCTCCGTTCAAGCCTGACGAGCACACGTTTGGCCTTGAAGACCTGGTCTAACATGTCCTGCATGTGGGATGACTCATCAGGCACAGACAGTTTCTGCAAACTAACCTGAATTTCAGACATCACCTTGATGTGCTCCTCCAGGTGGTGAATGGCGAGTGCCAGGTCATCTTCCTGTGCCTTGTCGCATTCTTCCAGCTCCTTGAGCAGTCTGGTGGCTTTAGCTCTGGCCTGGGTCCTCTTCTGCTTCAGGTCAGACTCACTATCTGCTCCCATCTTCAATCTTGCACACTCAAAGATCACAAATCAGCAAACAAGCAAAGTTACAGCAAAATTAAATCTTCATCCGGCCCGGAGGACCATGTTATAAAAGTTGAACTAAAAGGCCGGTTCAGAAAACTTGAAAAGAAAGCAAACTTTACACACTTATATTTAAATCACTCTGGTGAACTCGGTGATGAGGCAAGGCGGTAGCACACAACAATGGCAGGTCTTCACAGATCGGCGGCAGGTCAGCAACAGACGGAAATTAATACGAAACAAAGCGAAATCGGCGCGGTTACACATGGCAGCACGACGTCACAGAAAATATGCGAAGGATTCAGGAAGTTACCAAATACAAAGGAAAGTTTTACCGGGAAGGAAGGCGGGGTATAACAAACATGGAGCTAAATGAAGGCAAAAAAGGTAACAGGCTACTAATTAGGACACGGCTATTTTTGGAGTTTTTGCCCTCTGGAGGCTAAACCGTTGACCTGAGGTCAAATCTGAGAACATTATTCAGAAAGGTCTGAAAAAGGGCTATCGAATGCGCTTTTCTGCGGCGCTGTAGCTCTATCGGTTCCCGAGATAGCCGTTGGCAGTTTCCAAAATGTTGAAATAGTCAACATTTTACCTTTGGTGACCTCTGGTGCCCTGACCTTTGACCTGACCCAAAAAATCACTGAATTGTTTTCGTCCTTATTTTGGACGTTCTTTCGATTGCCGCTTACCGCGTGTCGCTACGTGGCCCATGAGCCGAGTTAGAAGGGGGTGTTCAGACACCCCCCGGCTCGGCGCGGAATCTCAGAGCACCGGCCCGGCGCGGGCTAATATTTCAAATCTTGCTTACATGTTGCTTCATATCCGTCATATCAATTAGTGCTGCATTCATGCACGGCTTTCTTGCTATCTACCCACGTTCTTTACACTCGCGTCCTTGCGCTGATCATACTCCTCTGAAGGATTATCTCCGTTCTGTTGAGATACGCTGTGGAGCGGCCGACAAGGGGGCGCCCCGGAGCCCGGAGCCCGCCCGCTAGTCGTGACAGCCAGGGGAGGGCTGAGGGAGGGGGGGGGGGGTAGATTAGCGTGCCACCTCCTCCCACACCGGATCGTCGGAGGGGGGAGGGGTGAGGGGTGATCTGGTCAGACCGGATAGCGGCCCTGGACCGTGTTGAGCCGCCACCACTGAGCTGCGGACAGGCGCCGACGGCTGACCGCAGACGGATGCCAGAGGCACACGAGAGGAGACCTGCAGCCACGGTAAACGGCGCACTGCGAAGAGGGGGGGGAGGGGTTCGACGTGACACAGGCGGCGTTGGAGAGGAGGCTTGGACGCACGGCACTCGACGCGCCTCAGGGGAAGGGTGTGAGCTCCACGCGTCGGGTAGAAGAGTTAGCAGTCGGCGCATTTCTGGGATGGGGGAGATTGATGTAGAGCCAGGCGGCGCATATCGTAGGTGCACCTAAGAAACCCGTTTTTTTTTTTTAGAGGTAGCACACCGTCACCGTCTTAACCAGGGAACTGAATGGTTCGACTAATAATTTTTTAGCATTTTCTTTTCATACATATACCATAATTGTAGACCCTCAGTGGGGTCGGTTCTGCGAAAGATTTATTGTGCATTATCTTTTAATAGTAAAACACGGGCTCCTTCCGTTTCGCACATGCAATCCGGCTTTGCACCATGAGCCAGCATTGCCCACAGGCACGAAAACAGCCTGGGAACGTGAACCCGTTCCAGCTGCTTGCGTGAAATGGAAGCGTGATCTCAACTGCAGCTTCTGTTCGACTTCCAGCTACCAGTGGAAGCAAAGATAAGATATATCTCCTAATGGCCTTCAATTATGAATTTCGTGCTACTGTGACAAAATAATTATAGGCGTATCTGTTTTCTGGCGAGCGCCCAGCGTGGTGTGGCGATCTTTCATCACCGCGAGGCCTCTATCACGGTTGACTGAGATTGATTCGGTGGTTGTAAGGAGCCGCCAGTCGGCATTCGTGCGGCATTGGCAGCGGTTGCTGGCGACGCTTCGTATTATTCGCACCGTAGGGGAGAAACACGCGATAGCACAGGAGCAAAAATATACAGCCTGAATAGTTCAAACGGTTTAAGATCGTGCTGTCGTCAATCGATTTTTGTAATGCCTTTTGTGCAGTTCCGCGCCCATGCGTTTTTACGCCTGGCGGTGTGAGCAAAAGCCGTGAGTGGAAGCTGAACTTCCATGAGCGAAAAAAGGCGCTTATTACTGTCCTATGTGCCTGCTCTTAAGATGTATATCGAGATCGCCTGTTTATCGATTTTTATATACCGACTTGAAAACAAACAGCTTAGCCTGGGATTATGTGCTTGGAGCCAAACACGGCTATCAGCGAATCAGCCGGTATGTTCGACTGCGGGCGAACCTGCCACTTCCGCGAGTGGGAAGCCCGCAGGTCACGCGCGCGTGTGTGAGCACCCTCGTGTGGGCTATGTGCAGCTGGCAATCGTCCCAAGTCGGTCCGTGCTCCCTCAGGTCGACGGGGACGACGTTTCCGGTAAATTTTCCATCTTCTGCAGGCGATATGATGCCTGAATACATACACTACACATGAATTAGAGATGTCAATCGGATGCCAACTTTTTGGTATACCGATATCAAAACGATACCAACTTGGTATTTGGTATTTCCGTCCTAATGTGTTTGGTATTTTGTTGGTATCATGAACCCTCACTTATGTATAGGATGCTAGGAAATAGGTAAAAAGTTGGCATTTCTCTCATGTTTCCGATCGTGGGTTTGGTCATCCATGGTATCTGCAGTAGTTCACTGCGAGTAGCCGTGAGCAGGCGTTGGCTTTGGCCGGCTGCCAAAGCCAAGCCCTGATAGAAGCGCGGAATTGTGTCTGTGGCCTGGGGCGGTTCGCGGCCGGCCGCTGGGTCGGGTCTCGGGAATAAACAGTCTGGAACGGAACGCGGCTCTGACGGGCGGTTACTGCATTGGCGACGAGTGTGGAACTGTGTGCGGGATGGCGCTGACCAGGGCGCCCGAGTTTGACGAAGCGGTGGAATGCTTTAGTGCTTACAATCGGCGGCTGGAGCAGTATTTCGTGGCGAATGATATAGACGGTTCGCAGAATGTGAAACGCCGTGCGATCTTCCTCAGTGCCATCGGACCAGCGACGTTTGCGCTGTTGGAAGACCTGATTTCTCCAGCGCTGGTGACGGACAAGAAATATGAAGACCTTGTCAAATGCTTGACTGAGCATTTTGAGCCGTCTCCATCAACAATAGTGGCACGTTACCGCTTCCACACCTGCGATCGCGAGGACGGCGTGTCCGTGACGGGGTACGTGGCTCAGCTGCGCCGACTGGCCAGGCCATGCAAGTTTGATGCAGCGGTGCTGGAGGAGATGCTGCGGGACCGGTTGGTCTGTGGGATACGGAATCCCAGACTGCAGTCGCGCCTTCTAAGTGAACCGAACTTAACCCTGAATTCGGCTATCACGATCGCTCAGGCGTTCGAGTCCGCTGCCGCCAACGCCAGTGAGCTGAATCGTGGGGATTCCGGCGCAGCAGGGCGGGCGGAAGTTCAGCCTGTCCACCGGGTAGCGGAGCGGCAGCAGCGTCCGCGGCAGCGGCCGGCTCGGAGCGGGACCGATGGTACTCGCACACCATGCTTCCGCTGTCTGCAGCGTGGTCATGAGCCGGCCGCGTGTCCGTTCCGCTCGCGGCGCTGCTATTCCTGTGGAGACCTGGGTCACCTGAGGGCGGCCTGTCGGCGGCGGGCGCCGGCGGTCCGGACTGTTCAGGCGGAGGAGGCGAGTGGCTCGAGCTCACCGGTCCCGGCCGCGACTGCGGTCGGGCCGCCGGGGCCGGAGCCGGGTCCTGAGCAGGTGGATGAGGACGACGTCTACACTTTGTTCACCGTTGGCGGTACCTACGGACTGCCGCCGGCCCGAGCCGCTGGGGTGACAGAGGCTGCAGAGAGCGGCGGCGAGTCGGGCGGGGCGGCGGCGGCCTGCGTCGTCGGTCCGGGCCTCTCAGCTGACAGTGTCGGCGCGTGTCGAGATGGAGCAGCGGGTGCTGCACCTCCCCGGCTCCAACGCTCCAGGCCACCGTACATCGTACCAGTTCACTTGAACGGCAAGGCGCTGGAGATGGAGCTCGACACGGGGGCTGCGGTCTCTGTATGTTCAGAGGAAGTCTTCAAGAAGTTGTGGCCCAGCGGCGGTCCATCCTTGGAGCGCTGCGATCAAACTCTAAAGACGTATAGTGGAGAGCCTCTCGAAGTGTGTGGCCAGGTGTCGGTTAATGTGCGTTACAAGGACGTATCAGTCCGTGCGCCTTTAGTGGTGGTGCGTGGCGATGGACCCTGCTTGTTCGGGCGAGACTTGCTCGCTCGTATCAGGCTGGACTGGTCAGCAGTGTGCGTGATGACGACCAGCCCGCGGGTGGAGTCTGTGGTGGCAGAGTTCCCCGATGTGTTCAGCGGTGAGCTGGGCTGCTTTCGAGGCGAGCCTGTCACAGTGGAGGTGGATCCTGATGTACGCCCCAGATTCTTCAAGCCTCGCATCGTCCCGTTGGCCTATCGTCAACAAGTGGAGGAGGAGCTGGATCGACAGATAGAGCAAGGTCTCTGGGAACCCGTCACTCATAGTAAGTGGGCGGCGCCGCTAGTGGTCGTGCCGAAAGGAGACGGGAAGGGCATTTGTTTGTGTGCGGATTATAAACTGACTGTGAACAAAGCGGCGAGGGCTGACCAATATCCGTTGCCTAGAATCGAGGACCTACTGTCAAAGTTGTCTGGGGGAAAGGTGTTCTCGAAATGTGATTTAAAGTCTGCCTACAATCAGTTAGTGTTAGACAGGGAGTCCAGCCAGTATCTGGTTATCAACACCCACCGGGGCCTGTTGAGGCCGACTCGGCTCAGTTTCGGCTACTCGGCAGCGCCTAGTCTGTTCCAGCGCACGATCGAAACGCTGCTAGCCGGGATTGAGGGTGTGGGAATTTTTTTGGATGACGTCATTATCACTGGCCAGGATACGGAACAGCACAACCGGGCTCTCAGGGAGGTGCTTCGGCGATTTAGTGAGGCTGGGCTCAAAGTAAACAAGGACAAGTGTTGTTTTGGTGTGGAAAGTGTACAGTACTTGGGATATAGGATCAGTGCGCACGGAGTGGAGACAACCGAGGAGAAGGTGTCGGCGATTCGGGACGCCCCGGAGCCGCGAGACGTCTCCCAGCTTCGGGCGTGGCTCGGACTCGTAAACTATTACGGAAAGTTCTTATCGAACCTGGCATCTGTTCTTGCCCCTCTGTACCGTCTCCTTCGACGCGAGGTACAGTGGGTCTGGTCAGACGCGGAGAAACAGGCTTTTAAAAAAGCGAAGGACATGCTTTTAGAACCAGCCGTGCTGGCTCATTTCGACCCGTCACTTCCGGTGGTTCTAACGTGCGA